AAAACTCAGTTTCGTGTGTGTCGTGTCCTTCTCAGGACATATTGGGGAAGGCTCTTGCTATCAACATTACCTGTGACGAGTGGTCTTCTTCAAACAACGTTCCGATTCTTGGGATCACCGCTCACTGGATTGACGAGAAGTTCAAATTACGAGAAGTGATATTAGCTATGCAAGAGATTGAAGGTCCAAAGACCAGTATCAACCTTTCAAAGTACTTTATTGAATGCCTTCAAAAATTCAACATCGAATCAAAAGTCTATTGTGTCACGGCCGACAATGCCTCCACCAACGGAGCGATGGCTTGAGAGATTGCTCATGAACTTGATGATTTTCATAAAGATACTAACTTATTGGGTTGTGTTGCTCATGTTATAAATCTTGTGGCTCGAGCTGGTTTATCTGTGCTTTCAAAGGAGTTGGGCGAGACCACTTCGGTCAACATAGAAGACATTCTTGAAGATGATGCCTTCAATCAAGATGTTCCTGGTGCACTCAGTCGTCTCATGGGATTCATCACCGCGATAATGAAAACGCCCAAGCGCAAAAGAGGCTTCGAAAAGCTTGTCGAAGCCGAACTTGGACAATCCCTTGGCCTTATCCGAAATGTCGAAACACGAATCCGATGGAACTCTGATCTTAATGCGCTCAAGAGAGCCCTCATTCTCAAGGAGGTCATAATCTTGAAATGTTCAAGAGACCAAGACATGATGAAGTTTCAACTCACTCTTGCCAAGTGGGATTTAATTGCCCACCTTACTCGATTCCTTGAACCCTTTGATAAAGCTACAAACATGCTTTCTCAGTCAACTTACACAAGTCTAGATGCTGTCTTGCCTGTCTATGAGTGGCTCGAGTCACAACTTGACAAGGTAAGTTCTTTTTACATCTCGATCCATGTTCAATTGGTGCTGATTACGATGTTGTAACTTCTCATAGGCGTTAATAATGTTAGAAAACCATCCAATTCGACCAGCCATTGCTCCAATGAAGACCAAGCTGACCAAGTACTTCAACGAGGCCGTTCTCAAACCCGTCTATCTCTGTGCTCACCTCTTGGATCCTCGCAGCAAGGATCAAGAACTGTCTTTGACAACTCTCTTTCGAGCGGGAATCACAAATCAAGCTGAATGGCGAGAGATTTTTTTAAGAGAGAGTTGCCGATTCATTCCAAACTCTGAGTTAGAAGAAAATGATGATCATAGCAATATGGATCCGATCACCAATCCTGAAGAAGATGGACCTCGCTCATTCATATCAGCACCTAAGAAGAAGCGAACTTTAGAAGCAGAACTTGTTGCTTACCTTGCTGAACCTCGAGAGCCAGGGACTCGTGATGCCTTGGCTTATTGGACTGAACATGCAGGGAATTATCCCTTGCTATCTAAGATGGCTCGCATCTTCCTCTCAGTTCCAGCCTGCAGCACTCCTTCCGAACGCACTTTTTCAGCTGGGGGACGTATTCTCACTAAACGCCGCCACGGTCTCAAATCAGATACATTCAAAGCTCTTGTCTGCCTCAAGACTTGGAATACAGTGTTAACTACGAATTGATTGCTCAATTTTGTTCAATTTTTTTCTTTTCTATACCTTTATATGCCTAGATTTGTTTAGTTACAAGTACCTAGCCTACAACAAAGACACGAAATAGTCTTTCATACATGATTTGTTAAGAAATGAATCCCGATTTTGCCCCTCTTGACCAAAAATTGACCCCCTGTCCAAATGAGCGGGTCGGCCCGGGTTAGTCCGGGTCTACTCAGAAGCTCGCCGAGACTCGCTCGAACCGGTCCCGGTCCCGGTACCAGGCCGGGTTTTGCGGACCGGGTCGGTGCATTAGGTGGAGTATGTTTTTTGCATTAAAAATTTATAGAATGTGATTTCTGGTCAGAAATTCCTTAAGGGCACGTTCACTTAAGAAAATTTTGACCAGAAATCACATTCTGCAAATTGTTTAATGCAAAAATGCAATATGCACTACCAAATAGACACTTTAAATTTTGCAGAATGTGATTTCTCATCAGAAATTGCTCAAGTGAACACGCCCTAAGTGAACACGCCCTAAGATCAGACAAGATCAAGATCATAAACACAATTCTTATATTTACTCAAAGAACTCATCAATAAACATGTTTTCCTTACAAAATTCTTTCTACTTTTCACTTTTTTTAAAAACTCAATTGTTTTGTTTTTCATTTTTAAAAAAACTCATCCAGACCATCCCATAAAAACTTCATCTCCCATAATCCAGCCAAGAAATCACATGCGTATCAACCCAAGTAAACAAACAACCCCCATAACCAAGCCTCCAAACCCCAAATCATGGTAGACAGGACAAATGATGAAGTTTCCAATCAATCAGAGCCCCTACAAAGTATGTCAGGAGTTTTTGAAATCCAAAAAGAAACCTTCATCAAAGTCACCCAATGTATTGTACTCATGTGAAATCTTTAAGATAAACCAACCTTAATCATGTCATCTGATTGAAACCCTAATCTATTGTGGTAAATCTCAATCAATTGTCTTTTGTTGATGATTTTCAATCTATCTTTCCATTGTATGAGTATAAAGTCAAAAGATGTGTATGCTGTGTCAAATCTCTATTGAAGTTTGGTTATAAGTCTCATGAGACCTTCACAGGCGGCCTTGCAACCAGACCTGCTTTTTTTCATCATAGGCTCATCTTTATCCAGCCCCCTCAAGGTTGTTAGTCTCAAGTCATGAAATGAACATAGACTCTAGAGTCCAGATGAGTAGGTCTAGTGAAAAATAAGAAATAAGGAAGGAATTTCAAATTCAGTTTAGTATTCAGGACTACCACTAACTACTTTTTTTGCTCTGAGTCTAGTGCCAGTGGCTTCTGACAAATTCCTTCACTTTAAATCCTTAACCAAAGCTTTTACTTTGCTCCAATCTCCTCAAGAAACCTTGAAACAGATTTTTCTCAACTCAAAAAAGAAAAGAAACCTTTCGATCAAATTTAAAGTTTATCAGAATTCATCATCATCTTTAATTATTCTCTTGTCGTTTCAAATCGATTTCTTTCAATTCAATTCATCAAGAAACTTCGTTAAAGAACCACACAGAAACACACACAGATAAGATAAGCAAAAGGGTTATACTATCTACTACTTCTACTAGATTTTTTTTGGTTTACGTTAGTTTATGTTTTCTTTGGGGATATGAAATTATATATAAAATATCGACTTTTTGAGAATCCGAGAATTCCATTTTTTTTCTGCTAAATATCATCTATTTTTCATCTTTCTCACAACCATCTTATATTTCTAATTCTTCAAACCTTTCTTTTTCTAAAAACCTTTGCCAAAACCCCTTTTCCAAACCCATCCCGACCCAACTTTCATAAAAAGAAAAACCTTTCTCAAGTCCCGAGTTACTTTTTCCATTCCTAATCATTTTTTTCTCTTTCAAAACTTTGATTTTCCTTTTTAAATTTCTTGACAAATCACATCCGAAGTTTTCATCTTTTCATCACTCATATCTTCCTTCATGATCGGATATAATGAAGTATGATCTTTAATTCCAGCTACTCTATCAAATTTATTAAGATTCTTATGACATGTGATTTGAAAGACTGATACACTTCCTTGACGAGGAGTAATCACCTATTATATTCAAAAATTCATTCAAAATCAAAATCAAAAAAAAAAGATGAGAAATTTCTTTTTTTCAAAAATCACTTACCGAATAAGCCAAAAAGAATTCCCAAACCCTAAACCAACGATCCCCATACTTTTCCACAATCTCATCCTTATTCGACATCCAATTCTTATACCATCTCCAAATCGTAGCCGAATAATGTACACCCAAAACATCTACTGATCTAATCTCAAATCCAGCTTGTTCTAATTTACTAATCACCCAACCTAATGGTAATGAAGCATCTGCACCAGGAAAGACATATTTATTCATAAACAAACCCCAAATCAAATCTTCATATTGCCAATTAGTTCGAATTCCTGCTACTTGAAAAACAAAGACTCCATCATCCGATAAAAGCTTATAAACCAATTTCAAAAAATCTAAATACTTTCGAATTCCAACATGTTCTGCCATTTCTAAACTAACAATCTTATTAAACCTACCCATAGGTTCAACCGATATATCTCGAACATCTTGACAAATTATTCTACCTTTTTCTTTTGAAATTCCATTGGCTAATAACCTTTGATTACCAAACTTAGTTGGATTTTTACCTAAAGTGATTCCAGTAACTTCACAACCATAATTCTTGGCAGCAAACCCAGCCAGTGTTCCCCAACCACATCCAATATCTAATAAATGATCCGATTCTTTTAATCCTAATTTCTTACAAACTAATCTCATCTTATTATCTTGTAGTTCTTCTAAACTTTCTTCGATTTCTGGGTTCGAGATTATTCCTGATGTGTATACCATTCTAGGTCCTAAGAAAAATCGATAAAAATCATCTCCTCGATCATAATGATCTCTTACTTGTTCTTCATCTTGTGATGTGGTATGTAAAATCACTTCAGGTATCAATCGAGTTAATACATATTTAAATAATTCTGGTGTCATTTGAAACGATGCCCAATCATGTCGATATTCAAGTGTATCTAACATATCACCTATTTCAAAACCAAAGAAATCTCAACTTTCAAATCCTAAACAATACAAGAAAAACAAACAAACGAACCTTTTAATTCGATTTTCCCATCAAAATAAGCATCATGCCAAACCTGCATCGGAATCTTTTTCTTCTGAGCATCCTTACCGGTCCCAAACCTCTGAGACAACCCGACGTCTTTAATAACAAAATATTCATCTAAAGCTTTATTAGGTAAAACCGATACATGATCTTTAGTTTGACCAAAGATTGAATTTAAAGTCCAATAACCAATAATGATTGGAGGACCAATAAAGACGATCAAAAAGAAATGTAAATATGAAAAAAGTGTAGGTGTGATGAATGGGATTAGGTATTTTCCTATGAGGTATGGACCTAGGATGAAAGCTAGGAATAGTTCTAGGTTTGAGAATCTACCGTGAGCTGTTTGAAAAAAGTTAAAGTCAAAGTGTGAGTGTTAATGATAGGATGATAGGATAGGATGAGAGTTGGTTACCTTCGAATGGGATCACAGCATTTTTGATAGCTTTATATTGAGTGAGAACCATCTTAGCGATCAAATCAGAACCAAGAAAACAGTCGAGTGGGTTGGGTTCTCGATCGATCAAACCAATCAGAGATGGAAAAACCACCTTCAAGTTCTAAGTACAAGATGTGGAAGTAACAGTACTTAACTAAACACTTAAAATTTAACCAACCTCTTAGACTTTACCTTGGTCATTCTAATTTCAACTTCAAATTCAAATTGATCGACTTTAAACTTCAAACACACCTCACCACTCTTCATCACTCATCATGACAGTAAGCAACCTCAACACTCCATCATCACACTCACCACAATCTAACTAACTCACACCTTCTCTTTCTCAAAAAACCTCAGGTCCAACCCATCAACCCAAAAGTAAAGTTCACCCTTAATCGATCCAAACCCATCAACTCCCCTCGGCACAAAACTGATCCAATCCTTCTCTTATCTCTTTGCACCAATCTTAGCCATTCTTACAAGACTTAACAGGTAAAGAATGTATGGTTAGATTAAAATGGGGTATGGAGTACAAAGGTTATTTGGTTTCTATGGATTCTTATATGAACTTACAAGTTAGTTTTATTTTTCTTTTTAGTTTTTAAATTGAACCGTTTTTTTGATTTCGCTTTCTGATTTTGGTTTTTGATGTTTTGCACAGTTGGCTAATACAGAAGAATATCAAAATGGTCAATCGGTCGGTTCATTAGGTGAAGTGTTTATACGGTAAATCGTTTTTTTCTGCTTGATTTGTTATTTTAAATCATATACTGATTTTACTTTGATTTCACTTGATCCTAAATTTCAGTTGTAATAATGTTCTATACGTAAGTCCTTTCTAGAGTTTACGTGTTTCTTTATCTTTTTAAACTCAATCTTGCTTTTTTTTTCTTACGTTTTTTGATCATTAGATTCGAGCTTTATCAGATTAAATCAAATGATAAGAAAAACAATACAATGCCAAACAAAACTAAACCATGGAAAAAAAATTGATTGATCAATAAACCTTTTCGAATCTTGTCTTACCAATTTTACACAATCTATGTTTTCTTAAACCAATTTTTTTTAAAGGAAGAGACCAACTTTCCAAAAAAGAGTTTTCCCAAAGATCTTAAAAGATCAAACTGATCTTCAAAAGAAGTGATCTCAATCAGGATGTTGTAATGATGTTTTTTTCTCATACCTAGATGAGATGAAATGAAAAATCAATTCTATCACTTGACTTATAAATATAAAATTCAAATCTTACTCATGATGATGACGCCAAAAGATGATTCCAGTTCCAAAGATTTCCAAAAATTCATTCAAAAATCTCAAAGAGTAACAGCTCCAGAATCTCTTATTTCAAAACCTGATTTTCCAATCTAGGATCAAAAGTAATCACACTTTGGATTTAGCCAATTAAGTGTACATAGACCAATCAAGCTTACACCAATTCTTCAAGTACCATACAATTCATCTCAATCCTGAGTTTGTTTTTAAAGTTTTGAACTTTTTGACCATTTATTCAAACCATTAAGAAAACCTTTACAATGAATGACTTCAAATAAATTTTATCATAGTTAAACCTTTGAACTTAAAAATTGGTATCATGAAACCATGAAACCAACCATGTGAATTGATTTACCAAAAGAAAAAAAAAGACAAAGAAAAAAAAAAAAAACTATCATCATCATCAAAAGTCAATGCTATTGTAAAAAAGAAAACTTGATTGCAAAAAAGTGAGAGAGAGAAAATAAGATTGATTAAATATTTGATTTGTATTTAAAACTTTTTAACAAACACACACACAAACACTATATGAATCCTTTCTAATCTATAAAATGTAAATAATCAAACACAAAAAAACAAAAACCCGCAAACTAATTCGAGCAAAAAACCCCAACCAATCTGAAAACACAAAAGAAAAAAAGACCCATACTAATGGAGTTTAAGATGTTTATAGAAAGTTTTTTCTTGTTTTTTCTTTCCTTTCCTTTCCTTTCCTAAATCCTACAAAGGTTTAATTTGATCAGGAGTAAGATAATAAGTCAAAAGAGCTTCTTGACTTTTACTTAAAGGATCCAAGATCTTCATAATTAACTTTTCATCTTTAAGTATCGAATTAGCAATCACTAAACTCATCACTGATGTCATTCTTGTTTCTGGATCTTGACTCATTAATCCCTAAGTGTTTCAAAAAAACCAAAAAAAGACAATCACAATCTTTTTAGTATGAATCTTTTTTTTTGCCAAATCAGTTAACATTTTTTTTCTTTTTTTGATGTTTTTCGGAACTCAACTTCTTTAATCAATTCTTTAGCTTTAGGTAAAGCTTCAACAATAATCTCCATAGGTAATCTACCAAAATATTCACCTACACAAATCACAGCTAATCTGATGGATAAATTCTTTTGGATCTCTTCTGCTTCTTCGACTTCTTCTTCTTTCATCATCTCAACTGCACTTCTTAAACAACTTAATCCATAAACCGGTTCAGTTTGTTCTACCCACATTAATCCAATCGCTTCACATGCAATCATAACCTACAAATCCCCCCAGCCCCCCCAAAAAAAGTCAAAAAACATCAACTTTCAATTAGATTCTTCTTTTGGTTTAGTTTTATATACGACTTACACTTGATGGTGCTGATCGAACGGTTTCTAATAAGATCGTACAAAGTTCGGTTTCTTTTCCTACCATTAAATGTGATTCATATAAGATCATAGCTCTTAATAAGATCAATTGATGATCACGAGTGGATTCTAAATTCTTTATAATCTCCTCATCAAAGAAAGCTTTAGTAAGAAACCTTTTGAAAAGAAGAAAAAGTTAAAAAAAAAGAGACACACTCTTGCTTACATTTTGACGTAATCGATCTCTTAAACCATCAAATAAACCATCAAACAATTTCTCTCGAACCCAAAACTCTTGTTCTTCTTGAGTTTGAAAGCTTGATAGTTCTGAATTCACTTTAAACCCATGATCAACACAAGCTTGTGATAAGTTAATATAATCTTCTGCTTTGAAATCGTATTCAAGATCACCCAATTCTTTTACAAGTTTTTTAATTTCTTCTCTTGATAATCCACTTACAGCTCCACACATCGTCACTAAAATCCAAAAAAAAGAATCAATACTTGATATATTCAAATCTAAACCAACCAACCTAGAAAAAAAATCACTTACATTCAGCTTGACGATGCCACCAAGAATCTCTCATTCGATTCCTTAGATCAGCCACTAAATGATGAGTTTGATGATTCTGATGAAGATGAGCCGGTGAGTTTTCAAACATCTGTTTCCAAATCGTTACATCTTCCAACTTATTCACTTTACTCAATTTAGCCAAATTCATCTCTCTCAATCCAACTAATTCTTCATTTCGAGTTCCAACTAAACCGATAGATGTTTTCATCTTTGGATTCGATCTTCTTTCTTTAGATGTCGATATCAACACTCCTCCTGGTCCTAATGGTACCAAAGGTTCACTTTCTATTAATTCATCTTCCGTTAATTCTAATAACCTATGAGCTGCTGATTCAGCTTGTTCAGCTTGTGCTTTCATCGCATCTTCTACTATTCCTTCTTCCATTTGCATCAAGTTGGCTCGTTTCTTTGAATGTCCAACTCGTTCGTTTTCATCTTCTTTATTCCTACCTCGAAACGGACGTGAAGGTAGTGCTGGATCAGATGAACAAGATGGTTGTCGACTTAATGCTCGAATCTTATGGGATTGAATCGGTTTGCTTGACATTTGATGACTTGTATGTGATCTCACTGATACTGACTTTCGTAGGGGTGATACTGATGTAGAACTAGAAACTGGAGGTGGTACAGGATGAGGAATACGAGTAGATCGATTAAGAGGTGCTTGACGTGGTGGTGTGACTTGAGAGATACCAGTGAGAGTGTTACTGGAAGTGAATTTGGAATGTAAAAAATCAGGTGATTTAGGATGATGTCCCTGTGATTTGGCGAGATGTGATTGGGTTCGAGTGAGTGGTGGTGTATTGATCAAAGAATCACTTTTTCGTGGAGTATTATTAGCTGTAGATCTTTCAATCGGTCCAACCGAGATGGGTCCACTGGTGGTACGAACAGATCTAGTAGACTTGATCATCGATCGAACTGAGACACGTGGTGCAGGTACACTTGATGGTTTTGATGTAGAAGTCGAAGAGAGTAATCCATTTGAAGCTTTTTCTAATTGTTTTCGAGTAGGTCCATCAAGCGTTTCCATCAAAGCTTCTGTCATACTTGGCCAAAGACTTGAACAAATCCAATAGACTTCTCTAGCCGTTTGACGTACGATCGGACTTGGATCGGCCAAGGTTTTCTTAAGTGACTTATCAATCAAAGCTAATCCTCCTCCTGATTCGATTTGACCTTTTGAACTTTGACCATGAACTTCAATGAATCCTTGAAGTCTACTGATCCCAGCTGTACGTGCTTGTACTGTCTTTTCATTCACACTTGTAAAAAGAAATTGTAAAGTACGAGTATTATATGAAGTAGATTGAATAAGAGAGGTGGCTGCATTTTGAGAAGCTGAAAACACAAGCTTTTTCGTTTGAGCTGCCATCCGTAAGAGTGGTGGAAGAAAAAGATCTAAAAGTGAATCAAAGTGGCTTCCTAAAGTTGAGGCTTCTTGTAAAAAAGTACAAGCACCCACAGCTGAAGTGGTACGTAGACTGGCTAATGATTTCAATAAACCATCTGAAATTGATTTTAAACCGGAAACAAAGTCTAGAGTGTATTGAAGATGTGCATTCGATTTGATCATCCCTCGTAGTCGGTTCACATTAGCTTCTCGAATTTGCCAATTGTGTTCTGTTTCTTTACCTTCCCATGGAGGTAACATCTTTGTAAACTCTGATTCCATTTCGCGAGAGGAGGCGATGTAAACTGCTTGAATTGTACCACTAGATTGTCCAACATCTGTTACAGAGCTCGTTGGAACGCCTAAAGGTGGTAAAGTAGATGATGTCATTGTGGCGATTGAAGCCCTTTCGTCTGCAGTCTTGATTCCACTAGAAGAAGCCCGAGGAGGACTAAGAGATCCTGCTCTCGAGATTGTATTTTCAGTCGTCGTCAAATTTTGCGACTCGAAGATTTTGGGTAAGATTGTGTCGACTGTAGATTTGCGGATGCCTTGTTTGGCTAATTCATTCTTCAGATCGGCACGAGCTGAAGGTGGGATTGAGGGATCTTGGAATACGGTGATGATGGTTTCCGAGGCACTGGAGCGAACAGATGCATCCGAGTCTTCTAGAAGTGAGATCATCGATGGAAGATAGGCTTTTAACTGGAAAACAGTAGGGTACCTAGATCGTAATTCACGAACATAATGTAAAATCTTGATCGAGAAGAAAGGTGACTGATTCAGCTAACTGGTATCCCTGATCATTCTCAAAATCACCGCATCAGTGTCACACACCTGAACTCTTGCCCTGGCAGTCTTATTCGCAAAACCATGTTCCTTCACCATTCGTTCCAAGTCTTGAAGTACCTCGTTAGAACCAGGCGGTTGATGCGACTGAAGTTGAGCTTCACAAACCGCCATAGATGCAGCAGAGAGAGCAGCTCGAGCTGTTTCACGAACCCGTTGTTTTGAGTCACCCAACAATGTCATCACGCCGTTTCCCGATGTGGGTGAATATAAGGTAGCTACAATCTGTTTTAACAAAGATTGATGATGATGAGTAGCCAGATTGTTGACCATTGGTAGAATACAAGATAAAGCTCCGAATGAAACGTGTCCGTTGGATGAATCCATGGCAGTTTTGAGAAGTGGTAGAAGAGATGTATATTCTGGTAACTGAACAAGCAATCAAAGTCATCGTTTTAGTCTTCAATCTGATATCAATCTTTCTTTATTTTCAACTCATGCTAACCACATCGATAGATTCAAGTTCATCTTTTAATCCTGTCAAACTAGATGTTTTCTTTTCGTTATCTATCAACCTCGTTGCAAATCAAATCCAAACCAAATGTAAGACAATATACCAAAAGATTACATTAGAATGAAGAACAATACGAAGATGCCCACCTGATCCAGCCAAAGCAGCCGCCAGAGCTTCGACTTGTACGAAAGACATGGTCGTGATGAGTTTATCCTTGAAGTGATATCATCAGTCTGGAATCTGGATATCGCGGTAAACCGTAACACTAATTCGCAATATATAGAACACATGTGATAGTAACTGTCATGGTAGTAGTACCCGGGTCGGATAACAGAAACTCCTCGATCGTTCTTCAAAGTCTTCATATTCCTCACATTGCTGATAAAGATCATGTCAATTATGTATATCATTTCCATCAAAATAACAGTTTTGTCGTGGAATTGTTCACTCATAACTCTTCCTTATCACTTAATTCGAAGCTGTCGAGTCTATTCCGATAAAGATCTGGTTATCTTTGAAAGAAAATCAGAGATGAATATCAAATCATAATCAAATTGGAAATCATAGTCATACGTTGTAACAAGATCTAATAATCGGAAGAAAACCCAATGCAGTAAACAGAGTCCAGACTCGAGACATAATGTAAAAATCAAAATGCAACAAATCAAAGCCAATCAATAGCTATTATTGACTTACAAAGTCAATCCAAATCACCACAAATTATACAAATAAGAACAAAAAAAACATGCTACATAAAATGTGATTCAACAAAAGAAACAAAAAATACAAACTTCATCACAAGCAATACAATCTTAGAAGTCTAAATTATCCATCGTAACATTTCCTTCAAGCCTTTGTTTTCATACCACCTCATGTCCTTTTGAATCCTTCTCAAAAAACCATCTCACCGAGCATCTCCTTAACTCCGTTGCCTCCAATTACGCCGGGTTCATTCCTGCTATCCAAAGCGTTGACCACCTAAGCCGTCCTCAGCAAACCCCAAAGTCCTTCTGAACCGTTCCCGATAAAGCATCGCCAAAAGTGTCTTCCTTGAGCGAGAGAAGTCACCTTGCTCTTCAGCTACTCCCTCGGCCATTCCAAAGTGTCCACCAGTCAGCCAATCCTCAGCGAAAGCCCATTTGCCAATTGATCCAAAAACCGTTCACGATAATCTCCATCCCATGTGCTCAGAACCGTCAAGCCACCGTTTTTACCAACTAGAATCATACAATTGATGATTGATGATGATATAAGCGAGTAAAATTGGTATCGGTGACGTGATTTGAATCCGGTGAGCGACATTGAGAGCCGTCAATCAAGGTTTCTTGGGGACTGGCTTTGAAACTTTCTTGGGAGCTGGTTTCGGAGCTTTTGTTGGAACTGGTTTCGGCGCTGGCTTCGGAGCCACCTTCGGAGCCGGCTTCGCAGCCACCTTGGGAGCTGGCTTTGGCGCCACCTTTGGAGCCGGCTTCGTGACTGGTTTCGAGGCCACCTTGGGAGCTGGCTTTGGCGCCACCTTTGGAGCCGGCTTCGTCACTGGTTTCGGGGCCACCTTGGGAGCTGGCTTTGGCGCGGGCTTTGGGACCATCTTTGGAGTCGGCTTCACGATTGGCTTTGGGACCACCTTTGGAGCTGGCGTCGGAGCTGGCTTGGGTGCCGTCGAGGGAGCTGGCTTCGGAACCGTCGCTGGCTTTTGACCTGCCTTCGGAGCTGGCTTTGAAACCGCCTTGGGAACTGGCTTCAAAGCTGGCTTCAAAGCTGGCTTTTGAACAGGCTTTGAAGCCACCGATGGGACCGCCTTCGGAGTCGACTTTGGAACGGGTTTCAGACTGGCTTTGGAGCCGCTGCTGGGACCGCCTTTGAAGCCGCTGCTGGAACCGCCTTTGAAGAAGCTGCTGGGACCGCCTTTGAAGCCGCTGCTGAACCCGCCTTTGACGCCGCCGATGGAACTGCCTTGGAAGCCGCCGTTGAAGTCACCGATGGAACCGCCTTGGAAGCCGCCGATGAAACTGCCTTTGGAGCCGCTGATGAAACCGCCTTTGGAGCCGACTTCGGAATGGATTTCAGCGCTGACTTTGAAGCCGTCGACGGAGCGTTCTTGAGAGCCGGATTTGGACCTGGGATAGCCACATGGCCGGTAGGAAGAGAACCGGTAGTGACCTTTGGGACCGAAGGGCTAGTGACTCCCTTCGATGCAACAGGACCAGCCGCCTTGGGAATGACTTTTGTCGTAGGCGGAGTAGGCTCTTTGAGAGTAGAAGCGCTCGGTGTAATAGCTTTTACAGTCGGTGCTTTGGATCCAAGAGAGGGAGCTGTCGCAATCGGTGCTTTGAGAGCGGGAGCTTTCGCAGTCGGTGCCTCGAGAGTAGGAGCTGCCGCAGTTGGTGCTTCGAGAGTGGCAGCTTTCGCAGTCGGTGCTTTGGCAGCAGGTACTTTTGGAGCAAGTGCCTCCGAAGCAGGCGATTTCAAAGTAGGCGAGTTGGGAGCAGGCGAGTTTGAAACCGGTACTGATGAAGCAGGTGCTTCCGGAGCGGGCACTTCCAAAGCTGACGACGTTGGAGCAGAGGCTTTCGAAGCAGGCGACGTTGGAGCAGAGGCCTTCAAAGCTGGCGACGTTGGAGCACGCTCATTCGAAGCAGGTACTTCCGGAGCGAGCGCTTTCGGAACAGGCGCTTCCAAAGCTGGCGAAGTCGGAGCCGACGATTTTGATGCAGGTACCGTTGAAGCAGGTACTCCTGGAGCAGGCGCTTTCAGAACAGGCGCTTGCGGAACAGACCCTTTCAAATCAGGATCATTTGAAGCCGGTACTGTTGAAGCAGGCGCTTCCGGAGCAGGTGAGTTTGCAACAGGTGCAGTCAAAGCAGTCGATTTCGAAGCTGACGCCGTTGAAGCTGGCGCATTCGAGGTCGAGGAGTCCGAAGCAGAGGATTTCGAAGCTGGCGCTTTTGAAGCTGGCGCATTCGAAGCTGGCGATGTTCGGGCAGCCTCTTTCGAAGCGGGCGAATCCGGAGCGGGCGCGTTCGAAGCCGTCGATTCCGAAGCAGAGGATTTCGAAGCTGGCGCATTGGAAGCCGTCGATTTCGAAGCTGGCGATGTTCCAGCAGCCTCATCCGAAGCAGACGAATCCGGAGTGGGCGCATTCGAAGCCGACGATTTCGAAGCTGGCGCATTGGAAACCGTCGATTTCGAAGCTGGCGATGTTCCAGCAGCCTCATCCGAAGCAGGCGAATCCGGAGCGGGCGCGTTCGAAGCAGAGGATTTCGAAGCAGAGGATTTCGAAGCTGGAGCTTTCGAAGCCGTCGATTTCGAAGCAGGCGATGTTGGAGCAGCCTTATCCGAAGCAGACGAATCCTGAGCAGGCGCGTTCGAAGCAGTTACCTTCGCAGCCGTTGATGCTGTTGTAGATGGTTTTTGATTCGGGATGAACGAAGGTGGTGAAGGTTTCGAAGAGTGTTTTGATGAATAACTATTATGACCAGAAAAAAAAAGGAAATGTCAACAATCAGATTATTTTTGAGATTAGAATTGATAAAGAAAATAAAAGAATAAATCAAACTGACTGTGAACCTCTAAGAATAGTAGTATGAGTGATGATCTTCTCGTAAACAGGGCTTTTTTGTTTCTAAAGTGATCAAAATAATTCAATCTTCATCAGTTCCATAACTCTTGGCATTACTTTAACACTTGCGCATAATCATTCAATTGAATTCCAAGGTTCATCGGTTTGAGGCAAAAAAAAAACAATGCTTGATACTTACTTTGATAACCAACGGTTTAGATTTTTGATATCTAAAAAAAATCAACAATTCCAATTATCAGATTCTCAGTTGATTCGAAAAAAAAACCACACGTAAAGAAAACCACATGACTTTGAGTCACATCCTAGGTATCGAAAACCATCCAGCCTGTTTATGATGATGAGGAGAAGAACTCTTTGAGATCTTAATCGAAGATAAATGTCCACTACTTTGTTTAGATTGCTTGTGATGACGAGAAATTGAATGAGGTAAAGAATTTATAATAGGAAAAAGACTGATAAGAGAGATCAAGATAACAACCAGTGTTATTTTCATAGAGTGAGTTTTGAAGAACATTTTTCGAGTTTATAAAAAAAGTTTAAAAAGTTTAAATGCTGAGGAAGATTGATTGTAAGGATGAATCTCTAAGTACGATGTGATTCTACTTTAAAGAAGAAGTAAGGAAGAACAAACTCTGAGGAGAAGATATCTTTATATAGAGTTCGACTTTCTCTATCTTGATTGCCATTTGAGCCATTTCTTGGTCGATTGATAGAAGGCAAGCTCATCTCGATAGGCTAGGCGCAACCACAGCCATCTCTGCTGCAAACTGACATTCCAATTTGCCTTCTTTTGCTTATCTTTCCAACTGGCTCCGGTGAGAGAGCTTTTGCTGGGATCACTGGGCCAGCTCGGAAGCTCGGAGCTACCTAAAGAACGTCAACTTTCAAACGTTCTGGCTGGCTCCGAGTAGGCGCGTCTTCTAGGGAAGAGAGGAACGCACCACAATCACACACGGGTCCATTAATGGGCTTGCTTTAGAATCGCATCCCCTAGGACTGTGTCAAATCGGTCAACGGCCAGCCATCCAATTCTACACCAACAACTTGACAAGACAATTCTGGAGTCTGGCCCCAAAATACCAACAAGCCTCCGAAGCCATTTCAAGTAAAAAAAACAGCTCGCACGATCAATTGGACTGACAATAAGTAAGAAATCAGTAGTCTCGCTACACATTCCCGAAATCTGAAACCTCCAAGTAGAGCTGGCAGCTACAAGCTAACACGCACGATCAAATATTGTGCGCATCCTCCTGTGCTTTTTTCGATCAGCGTATTATATGTCTAGATTATGACGACGAAAACATTAGCTGCAGTACATCCAAACAAAACATTTTGGTGATTTTTCTTTTTCTTATTATTTACAATCTTAATTTCTAAATATAACTCGATAACCACTTGGTTTTGTTTTTTTGTTTCTAAGGTAAACATGCTGTCTGATTTTGATAAAATAATAAAGCTTCTTGGTCATAGAATAGATACAAAGATGACATATAGGGCGTAAAAAATGCCTTCAACACGATTTTGAACAAGGTTTGCATATATACAACTCACTTTTCACAGTCAAGGCGGAATCAGTTGGTCATGACAAATCTGTAGCGGGCTGCCGTTTCAACAAGCAAATCGCAAACAAGAAGGAAAACAAGAGAAAATCAAAAAAGCAGGATTATGAATTAATAAGTCAAACTAAAGACACGAGTTGAAGAGATCAAGAAAGACGTACCTTTTCCTTGATCCATATCTTTGACTTTTTGTGAGACTTCTTTCATCGGATGAGAAGAAGTCCAAGATCTAACATTGTGTTTGACGGCCACATCAAGCATCTCCTTGATCAACTCTGGTGGTCCAATGATACTTCCACCAAAACTGATCCCTTTTCCAATCAAAGCTTGCCCAAAGAACGCGGGGATCCTGATGATTATAAGAAGCAAAAGGCATAAATCAATTAACTTTATATAAAGGATCGTCGAGGTATGAAACAGCAAGGCTTACTTTTCTTCTGGTAAACCAACAATGGTTAATCTTCCTTTAGGTCTTAATAATTTAAAGTAAAGATTTTCAATCGGTAAATCTTTTTGAAAACTTGTACAAACAATCAAATCAAACTTATTTTCCCATTTCTTCGCAGTCTCTTCTTGATTTTTGGCTATGATAAAGTTTTCTTTTTTGACTCCCAACTTTTCGGCATCTGCCAATTTAGAATCAGAATGACTTATTGCAAACGTTTCGGCCCCAAGAGCTTTTGCCCACTGTGAGATTCAAACAAATCCATTTTACGATGAATCGTATCAGTAAAGATATTTACAGTACAATTTATTCGAGAAATTAACTGACTTGTAACCCCAAATGACCTAAACCACCGATACCAACGATAGCGACCTTTTTCCCAGGTCCTGCTCCGCCCATCTTGACTGGATTATAGGTGGTAACTCCTGGGTACCGATATACAGCATATATCAGACAAGACAGGTCAAATACGGACGAGCAGCAAAGGTGATTTGCTTACCGGCACACATCATAGGGGCAGCAGTCTCGGAAGAAAGTTCCTTGGGAATCTCAACGGCAAATTTTCCTAAGTTAAATATGTGCTGGGATCAGAAGACTAGTAGATGGATCAAGGGGAGATAAGTCAAGAAGACGAACCTTTTACACGAATATAATCGGCATAACCTCCCTGCTCAAGGTAAAGATCAGAGACAAATGGTGATCAATCCAACTGGAACCTCGTCTCATGATTCAGAATCACATGCGTGTTGATGAATTCAGTGGAATCCGAAAACTGACCTGGGCAAGAGAGCCATCTTCCCATTCTCCTTGGTAAGTTCCGATCATTCCTTTTTCACAAAACGGTTCTTGATCGGATTTACACCATTCGCAGGAACCACTGTAACAGGTTCATCTTAGTTAAATCACTAGGCTAAACAAAACAAAAGTAAAAACAATCGCACTTACCATGATCCAGATTGGGCGCCTACTCCAACACGAGATCCAACCTTATGACCACTGTCCTTCCCAGCACGAACGACTTCTCCGACAATCTCATGACCGCAGATAGCTGGATATTTAGTGGGGCTAGGCCAACCATTACTGAGAACACAACTCGAATCAGAATCAGACTCGAAACAAAACTATGCAGATCAAAGTGCTCACGTAAGTGTATGGATGCAACTACCACAAATTGAACAATGACTGATTTTGATATCAACCAAGCCTTCGTGCCATTTTTGAGGGGTGTACTTGTAGACTTCTAAATCAAGCTTCTTCCCTGCGCTTTCATCCATGGCAGCACTGTGGTAAAGATGACATCAATATAAAACGCGAGTCAAGATGTCACATTCAAGAGATATATTGATATGAATTGAAAGAGACAGGAGTAGAGGAGACTGACTAGCCGGTAAATTTTTCTGGACTGGATGACATTTTGTGATATGGTTTGAAAGAAAATGGACGACTGAGGAGTTAAGAAGAGTTCAACAGGATTTTGGATGAGAATGAAGATGATGATGGTGAGTTTTTGATTTAAATTAATGAATCAGGTAAAGAGAGAAAGAAAGAAAAGGGTTGATTGATGATTTAAGTATATATGCAATATGATGGGTTGATGAACAGTTTACCAAGATGATCACCATTGAATTTGGTCTTCAAATGAGAACCGATTCAAGTTTCGTCATAATCAAATCGTAATGATTAGAAAGCCAAATGAAATGAGTGTTGAAATGATCATGGTATTATTAAGACGTCATGATCATAATGATCTGATGATTGAAGCTGTCTTTTATCAATCCATTCCTTCGAAGACTGTATTCCAAGACTCTTGATAAATGGATGACAGTTGATCAGTCGATGATTGTCTACGTAAGAAAGCAGAATTCAAATTGGTGATCTGATCCTCAATTCTCCACCAATTCAATCCAATCAGATTCACAGGGACTTTCGAAACCCAATCACATGTAGTCTTACAAACACTCATCATCTTTAGAGACCAAAGTCTCATCACTTTCTTCGTCATCACTCGATTCACTTTTCATCTTGGTTTGCTGTGATGAGAATCAGATCAAACTGGACATTGCACCAAAGTTTTAAATACAAGGGTTGATTGAAAGAATTTAGCTGTGATTGAATGAGCTTTGGTTGAAACACTTTTGTTACGTATCAAGGTTTGATAGCAAGAAATTAAAAAAAAATTCATGAATGAAAAGGACAGATAGCTAAGGATAGCTATGATCGCTAAAGATACAGCTGATTGTGAGCGCGGTGAGGTGTAAACACATCAGCCTGGAGTAAGCCCATGAGCGCGCCCCGCTAGAAAGACATTCAAAGAAGAGACTTGAAGGGAAGGGCTTGTTGGAAGCAAAAGAGACAGGTACACAGTTTCGAAGTAAGGGGTTCTGTCAAAACGCGAAATACTCTCGAATACCTAAATCATCTCTAAACACGCATCTTTGACTCCTGATTGGTGATCTGGAAGCTCGAGTTCAATAATCAGGCTTGATTTACTGTACAAAAGAATGCGCCCATACTTTACAAAAGTGAGAAATATCGTAGCATATATAACACTAGTTTCTCACTTACAAAAAATGGCTGCTATTGATTTACAATCTCGAGGTAAGAGAGTAGAGAGAAAGAGTTAGGAAGTGATAAATAGCTTGAAAATATTTATAAACAAGTGAGTTGCAGTATAAGGAATACAGAATCAGTTAGTCATGACGAATCTGTAGCGGGCTATTTCATTTGAAGTTGAACCATCAAATAGAAAAATCAAAAAGTAAAAAGGAAGATTGAATATTAATGAATCAGAATAAAAGACACGAGTTGAAGAGATCAAGAAAGACGTACCTTTTCCTTGATCCATATCTTTAACTTTTTGTGAAACTTCTTTCATCGGATGAGAAGAAGTCCAAGATCTAACATTATGTTTGACGGCCACATCAAGCATCTCTTTAATCAAAACAGGTGGTCCAATAATACTTCCACCAAAACTGATTGCTTTATTAACCAAAGCTTGACCAAAGAAAGCCGGAATCCTAATGACAAAAAAATGAAAGATTAAATTCAAAGTTTTGTCTAAACACTCATAGGTATTGAATAGCTTCTTACTTTTCTTCTGGTAAACCAACAATAGTTAATCTACCTTGAGGTCTTAATAATTTAAAATAAAGTGTTTCAATCGGTAAATCTTTTTGAAAACTAGTACAAACAATTAAATCAAATTTATCTTTCCATTTCTTCGCAGTTTCTTCTTGATCTTTTGCAATAATGAAATTTTCTTTTTTAACTCCTAGTTTTTCCGCATCTCCTAATTTTGAGTCTGAATGACTTATGGCATATGTATCGGCTCCTAGAGCTTTGGCCCACTATTAACATTCAAGGAAATTCATATTGAGGTTAAGTTGTGAGATCATGTTTAGATTGGAATGTTATTCGAGTGAGTAACATACTTGTAAACCTAAATGTCCTAAACCTCCGATACCTACTATAGCGACCTTTTTACCAGGCCCAGCGCCGCCCATCTTCACTGGATTATAGGTGGTAATGCCTGTGTGCATCCAGATGTGTAGCATACTTTCTCGTTGGCAACCAAACTGGCAAACTCTGTATGAACAAGAATGGGAATTCTCTTACCGGCACACATCATAGGAGCAGCAGTCTCGGATGAAAGTTCCTCAGGGATCTCAATCGCAAATTTACCTAAAGATTGCAAACACGTCCTTAGAATGAGAAGACCATGGTATACGATTAAAGAGAAGATGTGAAAAGTAGACGGACCTTGGACCCGAATATAATCGGCATATCCTCCCTGTTCAAAACGAAAATTATAGACAAGAAGGATCAATTCAACTAAAGTCTCTTCGGCTGAATTCCCAAATTCGAGATGTTGAGCTGGAAAAGATTAGCGCGGAATGGAAAACAGACCTGGGCAAGAGATCCATCCTCCCATTTCCCTTGATAAGTTCCTATCATTCCTGTTTCACAAAATGGCTCTTGATCGTCTTCACACCATTCACAGGATCCGCTGTAGCAGATGAATATTAGTCAAATAAATTATAAGATACATAATTTCAAAGAAGTAAAACCCACAACACTTACCATGATCCAGATTGAGCACCTACTCCAACACGAGATCCAAGCTTATGACCACTAGTCTGTCCAGCCCGAACGACTTCTCCAACAATCTCATGACCACAGATAGCTGGATATTGGGTAGGACTAGGCCAACCATTACTGAGAACACAAATCAAATCAAAATCAACTCTGAAGCAAAATCAAGAAGACCCAAAGCTCACGTAAGTGTATGGATACAACTACCACAGATTGAAGAATGAGTGATCTTGATGTCAATCAAGCCTTCGTGCCATTTTTGAGGTGTGTACTTGTAGATTTCTAAATCAAGCTTCTTGCCTGCGCTTTCATCCATAGCAGCACTATGAAGATAGTCAAAGTGAAAATAAATATTAAAACATGAGCAACGAAATCTCTCATAAATATAAGAGATAAAGTACAAAAGAAAACTTGATATCAATAGACATGAAGAATGTGACTGACTAGCCAGTGAATTGTTCGGGAATGGTTGTCATTTTTTGATGTGCTTTGATAGAAGAAAATGGACGAGTAAAGAGTAAGAAGAGTTGGGTTTTATCTTGATGAGGATGAGTATTTGATTGTGATCTGAAGAAAGATAATCTGACCCAGATGCAAAGGATTCTTATTATATCTTTGAGCTCGAATCGTCAAAGTCGTTTTTCTCATCTTAGTATGATTCCCCATTAATCTCAACTAAATGAGAATTCCTTCGTATTTCCTTCAAAGGTCTTGATGGATCTTGGATCATTCATTCATAAAATATCTCAAAATGGTGATCTTAATCCTAAATTTATCATTCACTTCGATCAGCTTTGTGAAAATATTGGAACATTGCATCGATCACTGATTATTTTCTATCTCTTCATTTCTTTCGGGCTTTATTCATGAATCCCCTTTGTCGATATGACATCAATGGGCCATCCACCTCGGATTACCATCAATAACCCATGAATAGGGATCGCAAAGAGTTTTCGAGATGACTCATTTGTTTTTATAAACCTAGGAAATTCGGTTGGAACCCCGTTTCGCGGAAGGCTGACATCACTCGGATTTCGGAATCGTCAAAATAAATACGCAAAGTAGAAAACCCATAGGGAGACTAGAGAAGGAGTTAAGAGAGTTTGAACGAAGATGACAATCAAGTACTTAGTATGACGAATAAATCAACAAATAGGACCAAGGAAGACACCGAATAGCTCAAAGAACTTAGAAGGCTGTAAAGGAACAGAGCTGGTCTGACGCTGAGGCGACTTTGGAAACCTCAACCACTTCCAAAGATAGGGCTGCGGGCATGTGTGATCAGCTACTGCGGCGAAGCCAAGTCGGCCCACAAGTGAGCCTTTTTGTGTACTCGTTTATAAACCGTTGTACTGCTGTTCCGCTGTCTGGCCTCACACCTCCAACCATGCAAGCTTCGAAATTGTCAATCTGATAACTTCAAATGCCCGATGAAATCTTATTTTTATTTGTCCTTCATCAACGATTAGCTGACTGAATGAACCCTCACGCTCAACTCATTTCAAAAGCACGATGAGCTCTTTCAACTCGATGAATCAGTCAACGAACACCAATTATCATCCAACGATCCTTTCTTCCTATATCCCCATTTCCCTTGCCTATTTTTACCCCTTAACAATCCTTTCCACCCGCAATGTTCTCAATTACATCCTTTGTACAAAGGTTCTTAATTGAGAGACCTCAAAAGGGTAGCGCAACCAATCTTCATCAAGGTAGTTCAACATCTGCTTTCATATGATTCTATGATTTGGTTTGCACATTGCAAGAAAGAGGTGGCAAATTTAATCTCTCCGGCTTCCACGCTTCTCCAGCCTGTTCTCACGTCGAGATTTAGTGGTCGGAAATAGTACTACAAGCCCGGGGACATACTTTGTTTCATTTTCACTTTTTTTGACACGGTTCACCTTGTATATAGCCTTTGTAAAGATGTAAAAGAATGCAACAGACAACCCTTTTCCCAAACATTTTCTCAAAGTTCATCCTCGATCTGTCGCACACATTAGCAAATATCTTGGCATATTTATTTACATGTCTGTTGAGTATGCCTTCACCCAAGATGACCCTTGATAATGACTGTCGGAAGCTCCACGGAGCTCGACTTGATCAAAGACCAAAATGAGCTGCTCTATCTGGTTGACGCTTGAATCACAAGTGACCAATGTTGATCAAACACCTCCGCCATCTCCTTGACGAGTAAAATCCAAGATTCACATTTCAAATGACTCCAAAGCTACAGTCTTTTCATTTTGCACGAAAATTATTCATTTCAAGGTTACACGAAGGTTAAGACTAAAGGGTAAATTGGGATCAGTGACAGTAACCTGTTCACCATCAGCCAACAGTTCATGAAGCTTTTTCTTAAGATTGCCTTCGGTAGCTTGTCGAAGTTGAGGAGGGCTCTGAAAGAATAAAGATCCTTTATCTGTTGAGAGTGAAGGTTGTTTCATTTGACTGAAAAATAAACACATCATTCATCTAGTCAATTACGAATGATCATATAACTAACTAGTGAGAAGTGATATGATACTTACAAGTCCTGTCGTTCAATCAAATATTCAAGCAATCGCTCCAAAAGCCAATCCTTACTTAAGCTCACGTCGATCGATTCACCACCACAGACAGGACATTCAGGTTTTTGTTCATGCTCAAAGGTATAAGTATAGACCGATTCATTCCCTGTATACATCCTAGATATTTAGAAGCAGATTGGTTAGTCTCATCGAACCCTCCTACGTAGAGAAGAAGCAAATAATTTACATGTAATTCTGCAGATATGGAGCAGAAGTGGTCGCAAGTTTGAAAGCCTCATTACAGCAGCTGGCTAGGAAGAGATCAAGGTATGATCAGTCATCTCATCAAGAAATTCAAACAGAAGGTCAATATCGCGTTACACACCTGCAATGATAGCATTGGTACTGGCTATAGCAGGGATGATATTTTTCACCACGCCTTGTGTTAAACTCCAGGTAACACCCGTGATCTTATGAGCGTCTGCTCTCTCTGAAGCTTTTTCAAAAAGCCACTGTATATGATCAGGATTATCACCATCAATCTTAAGATCTACGTAAAAATCGACATCAGAATAGCTGACAAACACATGGATAAGATGATTACAAAAGTGATGTACCTTTCATGACTCGTGGCCACTCTAGTACACTTGCCCATTCAATGCAATGTTCGGGTAGTCTAGGTGTATTGGCAATTGTACAGATTGGAAACGCAGTTTGAGGTGTTAACATATCCAAAGAACACTCGTAACATGATGTGATGGTAGGTAAGATCACTCGAGATTGACCCTTGAAGCCTGATGGATAAAAAAACTTCCTTTAATCTTATAAGAATGTAATTTCAAAAGTGTAATACATACCCTCGGTGCCTCCATCAATCAAAGGCTTTAAACTCTCGGGGTTTTCTGGATCGACCAAGTTTACCAAGGTGGCATTGATCCAACGACGCGCAGGTACCGAATCGAGACCACAGATGATCAAGTTGAAGGTCATGTAAAATGCGTCATCCTTGTCTTGAATTTTACAGTAATGTCTATTATCAAACCAAATCAGTCATCAACTATCCTTCTGCAAAATGTATCGACGTATAGTTTCATGTACTGACGGTGTCACTTTACATTGCGGTACACGTCGACTGATAAACTCTGCAGCAACTTCTGCTTTGGGCCGGCCTACATCCTTTTGACTGTGGTTGAATCAAATAGTCAGTCCAGACTCCAACACAACAAAGTCAAAATTTTAGAGGTTCGGATAAAGGTATCATACCGAAAGAGAAATTGTCGATTGAGATTACTGATATCGATGGTATCCATGTCAATTACGTGCACATTCGTGAAACCTAAGAGGGCTAAATTTTGAAGAATCTCGCCTGATCAAAAACAGTTTCCAAGCGTTTTCCATTTCTCAGTTCTTGATATGAAGGGGAAGTGGAAAAATCCTGAGAGGTGAATGGTTTACATCCTAAACCACCCGCGCCAATAACTAAAACCTGACACGTATTACGTAAGAATTCTTTCACCTAAACTTCAATAGTACATCAGCCATCAAATCAAAATCAATAGTTAATGGATCAGATCTGACGACTCACTCCGGAACCCGCATCGAAGCTGGAGTCAGTGGATGGACCAGGCTGATCAAGAATCTTGTCGAGATGATAGTAACGAGAGCTGGTAGGCATACTTCAGTTGGGAGAGGACTTGATGACGATCGATCGTGTGGTTCACCGTGATTGAATTGGAGCAAGCCTCATCATGCGCGCCTGACGCTGACGCTCAGAGCTGTTTCGCTATCTCTGGAATCTCGGTACGCGGATACCTGACCTCGGGTAATGCTCATGGGGTCTGTGACCGGTGTGCCAATTCGGATTCAGCTCTGAGAGTTATGGCTCACGGCCCAAGGCAGGTGGGACTTGAGCTCTTGAAGCAAACAGCATCTGCCAATGCCATTCTTTCGCTTGAAAACTTCATCGATCGTTGTTATAAGTGTCAACACTAGGCCACCTTATCTTCTTCTTGCTCGAAAAACCGAAACGAAAAATACTGAATCGACAAACTTGGGCTCTAGATTCGGTCCGAAACTGAGTCGAGAATGTTTTGACTCGAATGTGTTGAAGCTAGACTAAGCCGCGTCGGTGGCACGGTGCACCTCTCGCGTGATGTGACTTCAACCTTTATCAATCGTTACCTCTCCTCTCCCATACGCTCTCTATGGTCAAAAACAATGATACCGGAGTGCTTGGGTTTATTGTAAGCTTAGGCTGACCCATTTAGCATGTCTCCAAGCGAGAAAGGAGGTAGAAGGAACTCGATCATAGATTAAGCGTTTTAGGGCCAGGCAAATACCCACAAAGTCCAGGACGTAATTGGAAATATTGTTCTCTGGAGCTTTGTGGAAGTCTTCGGCGTCTGCTGGTGAAGAAATGCATCATGCGATTTGACTCATTCCTGACGATGGAACTGTTCAGATCTCGGATTGACGATTTATCTTACATCATATGTTAGCCACTACCAAATTCATTGGCAATACTTCTCATTGTGTGAACTACAACCCAGAGGGTACAAGGTGTCTTTCAGCCTTGTCTTTCAAGGCTATGAGGACTTGAATAAACCAATGACAGCATACATCAAGATCCCTATGTGTACCACCTTGGCAGCTCTTTGAAAGCATTTCTTTGATCAACAAGCAGACAATCATGCATCAATAAGCACTAGATCACTGTACAGTTGCCTTAGTACTACCAGAGAGCTGCTCAAATTGAGTTGATGTTTGTCTCATTAGAAATTTTGATCAAGGTTTACAAGGATCAAAACTTTTGACCAAATGTGCAGCCAAGGCAAACTTCCATGGAAAAAAGGATGGTCAACTTCTTCCTTTCAGCAAAAAAGTGGCTCCACAATGCGCAAGATTACACATAATCAAGCCTCTCAGACCGTCAAATTACTGTCAGTTAGGAATATAGCCTTTTGGACAGAAGTCAGGGCAAACCACAAGTGCAAGTCTCTTTGATCTTCTTCAGTGTCCATGAGAGCCATAGTTTGGGCAGAAAGCAAGTGCACGTCTCTTGAAAAATGAAGTCCCCACCTATGTATTCTTGCCAACATTTGATGTGGCCTGTGAGGTCCCAAGCTTCAGAGCTCTATCTGCTGTAACTCATAGACATGTTACTCTTCAAGTGCCATCCAAGGCTTGGCCTTTGGCTTGAATCATTTCCAATACCATTGATTTTATTCAATAAGAGAGAGGGAAATTGGATAGCAAACGAGCAACCAATTATAGTGTTGAGATGTAGAGACTTACATGGTTTGGAGTTTCAAACAAATTTGATGTGAGGTTTGATATTGGAAGTTGCATAACCTGGGCTTGTCACCCTCACTGAGCTTCTGATAATTCTACAATTTGAATGAGTTCATGGGTGTCTGCCAATTGAAAAAGCCCTGCTTTATTAAACAATGCTTGTTCCTTTCACAGACGTTACTTTGCTGGCTTTTGCCCAGGTTGTGTTGTTGAATCTTTCTTATCCACCTGCTTGCAGACCCTCAATGAAATGTGAATTAATTTTAGATGGTCACTGTTATCAAGTTTTGTTTGTCAAGAAGGAGGTTTTGACTTATCTTCTGACAGCATGTATGTATATTATGTGGCTGTCTGAAAGTACTGCAATAGGTCCAAGTTTCAAGTCACAATCTTGGGACTTCACTCACATACAATCAATATGTCATACATAGTGTTTGGGAAAACAAGAACATTCAGCTCACCTTATCAATCCTTTGTTGGGTGGGTCAAGCCAATAGTAATGGGATATATAGATAAAATAGAATCATAAGTTCTTTAATAATGGGTACCAATTCACCACAATAAGGAAACAATGATAGATCCTACAATGTTTGATTGAAAATGCAAATAAGTAGTGACACATTTCTTTTTGTTGAGCGTGGCCAGCTTGAACAGACTACCTAGTGATTGGGAAATCCTTATTGTGTAGTGCATGTTATAAATTGGTTTTTGGTTTAACCAACAAGAAGAACATCTATAAGGAAGAATCTTAAATTTAGTCTCATAGGTAACCACTCCATCATGTTGGTTCAAATTTTTGATAAAGCCTCTTGATCACAATCACAAGCAAAATTTGTGTAGCTAGAAATGTGTCACATTTTTCTGAAAATATTGACCTTTCAACTTGTACAGGATATATAACTGAACATTATTAGAAATGCTAAATGATATCCAGAACATTAGAATATTGGGGTATGCAAAAGGGGGTAATACTTTTAAAAGAGTGCTGAGGTTTTGCTCAAGTCCTAGATTCTCAGATGGATCAGCTTTGGTGGTAACATACACTCCGTTCAAAGACCATCTGACAACAACTTCCTCCTCCTGTCTTAAAAAAGAACCTTCATCAAAATCATTCCACAAAACCTTTCTTGATCTCCTGAACACCTTTCACTTCCTACATCTAAACTTCCAAAACCCACTCTTGACTTTATAACCTCAGCTCTTTTAAATGGCGGAACTTCAACCCATTGACAAAAATTACAAGCAACTATTAAAATCAATCATTTTGGCCCATAGTGTATTTGACAAATTCAAAGACCCTCTTGGCGCCCATTTGACAAGAGTTGTACCTGGTTCAATTCAGACCTTGTTGTACACCAAAGCTTGGATTTAGGATCTCAAGAGCATCCCATACTGGGAGACCGGAAATCTTCAGAGTTGGAATGCCATGCTGTAAATGAACAGTCACATCTCATTGAACTTGCAGCAATTTCTGATGATGCTCACTTTGAAATTCATCTTGATGTTCTTCTTCCTGCTCCTGATCAACTTGATGAATGGCTTGTCTCTACATTCTTGTACGTCCCTTGGCCAAATCCTCTCACATTCTTCAAGTCAAGTCAAGATCATCTACAGACAAACACAGCCAGTGTCCAAGCTGTGTTGGTGCTCTTGAAGTGGGCAAGTGTTACATCAAGTTTCCCGGCCATCATACTCATTGGCTTCACAAGTGTTGCTTGATTTGTTTGGAATCACACCATCTTGAATACTCCTGCCCTATTTTCTGTGAGACTCCATACGCTATCTAGAACATCATTGTAGGCACTTTCCCTAGTTTTTATATCAATTCTACATTCTTTTGGGCTTTTCATGAACTGGATTCTGATTTTACTTGAAGTAGGGTGGTCAAATGGATCTTCTTCATCAACTCACAGTGTCAGCAGCTTGATTAGGTAGCTTTTTACAACTTTTGGAAATCATCATATGCTGTAGTTATGGGCTTTTTGAAAATCACTAGTTCTACTAAATATGAACACCAACCAATTGATATGAAATACACAAGACTCTTAAACTATTTAGAATTTATTCAAAAGGTATATGACAGAGACATTCATCTCTTAATGATATCCAAGAGCTACTCTCATCTTGATTCATCCTCAACTCTTTGTGTGCGGCCACTGTTACTCTGGATCTCTGAAATGTTCAAACTGGGAGTTTGGCAATCTTGAGGTTTATATTGGCAGATCAGGAATCAGAAACCTTGGTCTTGATTACCTCACAACTGTCTTTGAACACTTACCTCTTGCATTTTTCATGATCCTACAGCTGTCTTAGTCTCTACTTTCTTATCAGTCTTATGCACTACATCCAAGTACCTCATACCAAGTCCAATTAATCCAAAGATTGACACAGAGTTTGTACTACCTACCTCATCATTCCTTCTGAGGTTAGACAGCACTACCTTCAGCTCCTCTGTCTTGTTAGTAGTACTTGAGTTCAGAAGGATTGCTTGGCTTAATCTTCCCAATCTCTCATACAACTCCTTACTCATGCTAGAAAATTATCTTATACCATCTTCTTTGTTTGTCATACAATTATTATATCTGTTTGGGTGACTCATGAATATAATATGATAATTTTTTTGTAATGTTTTTATCAACTAGGGATGTGAACGTAGTCTGACCTATCAGAAGTTATGAAGCTTCCAAACTTTGAATACTGTGAAATTCATTCTATCATAAATTTCATAGTGTTATGAGAGATTGCTGCACTTGGTAGGCGCAAGTCTCATTCATCAGATAAATCCAAATACTTTCATTCATCAGATGAATCTGAATACTTGAGCCCAGTAAGAAATTGTTGTAAGTCTGAGTCTTGACTGGTTTCTCCTGGTCTTGTGTTCCAATGGTGTCCTGATACCTGTCCCTAAGCCCGTAACTCTCTATTTTGATCATGGTTCACATTTGCAAGGGAGAGGCAATTATGTAAATTCTGTTCCACATATCCTGTGCAATCTCCTTTGATTTATAAGATTCTGAATCACATAACCTGCTTTTTCCTGTTGTATAACATGGCTTTGACATATTGTTCTATGCAAAACATGTCATGAAACCATGGAAAACTCAAGCCTAAATAGTCTATCACAACAAGCCTAACAAGTTCATTATACCTGATTCATATGGTTCAATCTCACTCAAACTTTTGCATTTGATCTTCTTGTGCCTTTTGTTGATAGAGGAGTGCTGAATTTGTGAACCATGAACATAGAGAGTTATTGCAATGTTGATGAAAATCAAAACCTGTATAACTCTGCAGAAGAATTTTTTTGTCTTGTGAGCAATCCCAATGCCTCAGGCTCAAAGGAAGAACCATTTTAGACCCTGTGAGATTATTTGATGTCACATCATCATGTAAAAACATGCCAAACAAATCTCTGGTAAGGTTCATAAAAAGTTTAAACTCAGATTATCATAGGATTTTGTATCTGTCAAAACATTTATATTTCATGGCATTGTTTAAAGCTTTCTGAAGCTTGCTTGCAGCTTTGATTGAAAAAGTCATGTGATCTCAAGTACCACCAGGGACTTCAGGAAGTAACATATTTCTAAGATTTGAGATGACATACCTGGCACATAGCGTACCAGGTCACATGGTCTTTGAACAAAACTCCTCAAGTATCATAATCTTTTGATTTTGATATTTGTCTATTGAAGAATTGGCTCAATTTATTTGAAAGAATTGAAGCAACTATGACCAAAGGCATGGCACCAAAATCACATGCAAGAACAACAGATGAGGACTGACAAGAAACATATGTCATAAATTTGTATTTAGTTTGGAGTTTTTCTGCGGGGTTAGTAGGACAATCACATTAAACACAAAGGTGCCCTCAAAAGACGACAAATATCTTTTTTTGTGGATGATGTGCAGACATCTTTCTGTTGTTTCAAAACATGAGGAATACAACAAATTTTGCATAGATCTATTTTTTATGTAAATTTGCCGGGCCTCCACATTCGATAAATGCCAGAACCCTAGGAGGTTGATGCAAACAGGGTGTTGGAATGAAATAGAAGAATTGTATCCAGAAAGAAGAGTTTTCCCAAGTGTGCTACTTGACAGCAGACTTTTGAATATTTGCAGAATACAGTTTTGTTCATTCGACACAGAAACATGCTTGTGGCCTCTGGAAAGACGACTGCATAGCCTGTGCATCACGCCTTTCCTTTTGCAAGTCTCTTGTTTGATTCGAATGGGACTCAGTACACTTCAGATTAGGAACAGATCTCTAGACTCTTACGGAAGGACGGTCTTAAGCTCAAATGTTAAGGGTTTATGTATAACCCATAGAAGTATGGGCCAATCTGCAGCAAAACGGACTGTTTGTATGGAGCCCTTTGACTGGTTATGGGTGATGGCCTACGGGTTAGAAATCATGTTCGGTTTGTTGTTAGGGGTCAATGGTAGTCTTCGACACCTCCGCGTTCTGTATACACTGCTTTCATAACAGAAGATATCGAGTAGACCTAAGCTGCTATGAGCAAGTAAAGCCTGCATCTCAAATGCGATCGCTTCCCATTACACTACATACCATTTACACATACATACATCCCACTACCAGCACAACACTGGTTCAGCCTCAGTAGACTTGGTACAAAGGTACCGGTATACGGTACATGCACCTCATCGTATAGTCAGATAGTCAGACTCACTGATAACCGCACAAGTCACCACTTTCACTTCAATGTAATCGCAACACATCCTACATTTCACTACTCTCTCCAGCAAACCACCCAGAAGCCGCCTATTCTCTACAACATCATGGGACGAAAAAGCAAGAAACTCTGCTCGAATCTCGACAACGCTAACAAGGAACCTGCCCGCCGCCGAATCAAACGTGATGCAGCCGCTGAACAACAGTACGAACAAGAGGTTGAACAAGGGGCACAATTTCTTGCCGGTATCCTTCCCGGCAACAACAACAACGAGATACCTATCCCTAATCCACACAATAATCCAAAAGATGTACATGGTGATCTGGATCTTAATATGAATGATATCAATCCCGAGTTCATTCCATTTCCGAATGACCCACCACTAGGAAATGTAGAAGACCAGCTCCAACCAGAAGCCAACGATGTTATTGCACAATTCGTTGCTCGACACCGTGAAATCCGATACGCCAACGACCGTGAGCAACTTCGCAAGCATTGGGAAGCCATTGAAAAGCACCTCACAGCCGCCTACCTCGAGTCTCAAACCAACACTTTGAATTGGACCTCCAAACAATCCTACCTCGACGATGTAAGCGATGTTTGTCACTGTACAAGCTTTACCTATCAAAATATGGACCTTATTGGCGTGTTAAGTAGGCTTCTAATTTACTGTATACTATCTCTATGTCACAACCCACACTGACCATATCCTTACAACGCAGACCGATTTGTGTCAAGGCCGGTGCGTTTCTGTAAATGCCTCCCCGAACCTGTTCAACTCGTGTACCAAGGATACCTTCCAGCATCACCTCAACAGCCCTGGACCGCATTCTTCATTCCGTTGTTACAGATGTATCAAAACCTGTGGCAAACTTCTGTATCTGCCGCTACGAGTTGGATTGAAGGTTATATGAATTTTCTCGATGGAAGATCCGCAAAAGAAGATACAGCTCGAGGCTCTGACGCAACTCGACGACGAGACTTGAGACAGCCTTTCTCAAGTACTGCTAATATATATAGTCGAATTATTGTCCTCGCCAAAAGTGTACTCCACCTCGGACTCCAACTCGCCACCACTGACTTATGGGCTAAAAGTTGCAGCCGTTGTTTTGGTCCTGCAAAGAATGAAGTGAAGGAGTCCGATCAAGAGGCGGATATCATTGTGTGTATGGACGGAAACTTCCAACACCGACATAATGTCCTGGCCAGTAAGGACGATCCCAACGAGTCACAATACCCATCAATCTTTGTACGCCCTTCAGCAATCGCAAAGCACAATGATCCCAACCAAGCACCTCTTCAGCTAGACGAGGAGGACCTCAATGTTAGTTTCCTCCTTGATTTGATCACTAGCTACGAAACTGACGATTGTCGTTGATTGCAGGATCCATGCGGTGAATCGCATAAAACAGCCAACGACACCAGGAACTCTTCGACTTGGGACAAATGTGATGATACCGGGTTGTTTGCACTTGCCTGTAGACACGACGTGCTGTTATTGCTTGCTAATATATACAAAAGCGGCAAAAAGTAAGTTGTTTCATTTTTTCATCTCTTTACATCTTTTCGGGTTGTTCATTTCTCATCATTGAGTCACATCACCACAGAATGTACTACCCATTAACTCTTATCAAGTCGCTACTGGACGACTTTCCCGATCTGCGCGTTGCTATCCTATACGACATTGGTTGTCAGCTGGACAAGCACATCAGGAAGGTGAGTAAGAGTGGAGAAGTTTCATTTCGTGATGTTGACCATCTCCTGTTTCATAGCAAAATAAGTTACCCGAATACCAACGACGGATTATACTGGGAACATCGGTTTTCCATGCCTACGTACACTCATGGAATTGTCAGCTACATTACAATCCTCGATTCTTATAGTTTTGGGGCCTGTCCGACGGCGAAGGGCTCGAGAGATTGTGGTCGGACCTTACACCTCTAATTGCCCGATTGCGCACTTCGACAAGACTGCATCGATTGCAGTCTATTGCTGCTCGATGTGACTATCTAACCGAGCGAAACCAAAAGCACACGGCTGAATGGCTACACCGGAAATTGCAAAACACCATCTCAACCATCAAAGCAGCACGCGAGACGTTGAACAAGTGGTTGAAAGTCCCAAATCCGCATCGGCCCGGCGCAATGTATACAGAAGCATTCTTCCTGGCTCAGTGGGACTCAGAAAGGAAGCACAACATCGCCACTTCTAAAGACATCAAGACATGCCAAATGCTTGCGCTGGGAAGACTCCTCTGCCTCGAAGATCGCATGTATCAGGTTTGGTAAGTCATTTATAACTAATGTCAATACTATTTTCGATGTTTTAATTGACATTACCTTTGAAAACCAGGGATGAAGATACCCAGCAAGAACTTCGGGCCTTTGATCGTCTGCAACGATTTCAGGATCTTGCTACTCAGATAACCGAGCAGCGTAGAAAAGTGGGTACTTCGGAGATATTGAGAGCTCTTTCAGGTGAGTTATATTCGATTAAAGACCAAGCAATACGGTCAGACCACTGAATGATGAATAAATATATCAGAGGCAGGTCGTGATAGGTTCCTGAAGGTTTGGTTTGCAAAAACCGAGGTTCGGACTCGCTTCCTGGCCTTGAGGGCAGAGCAGAGGCCATTAGATCCCGAAAACCGGGTTGGTGGAAGCTCGAGGCTTGGTAGGTGTCATTATCATCATTGATCAGGTTTTGATGCATTTGCTGACAGACCTTTCCTCGCTTTTTCCCAGGCACGCATGAAAAAGAGCGGATAATGGGTGCTATTGAACGACGAACATGTACCACAAAGAAGACTCTGACCAACTATAATACC